TACTAAAACCTTTTCCACATTGCTTACATACATAGGGTTTCTCCCCAGTGTGAGTTCTTTCATGGATTTTACAAGAACCTCGTGTACTAAAACCTTTTCCACATTGCTTACATACATAGGGTTTCTCCCCAGTGTGAGTTCTTTCATGTTCTTGACAATGTCTGTGGCTGCTAAAAGCCTTTCCACACTGCTTACATGCATAAGGTTTTTCCCCAGTGTGAATTCTTTCATGTTTCAGACAATCACTATGTGTGCTAAAAGCTTTTCCACATTGCTTACATACATAGGGTTTCTCCCCTGTGTGAGTTCTTTCATGTATTTTATAACGATACTGTGTACCAAAAGCTTTCCCACATTGCTTACATACATAGGGTTTCTCTCCTGTGTGAGTTCTTTCATGTACTTTATAATGACATTGTGTACCAAAAGCTTTCCCACATTGCTTACATACATAGGGTTTCTCCCCTGTGTGAGTTCTTTCATGCGTTTTGTAACAACCTTGTGTACTAAAGGCTTTTCCACATTGCTTACATACATAGGGTTTCTCTCCAGTGTGACTTCTTTCATGTCTTTTACAAGAATCTCGTGTACTAAAAGCTTTTCCACAATGCTTACATACATAGGGCTTCTCCCCAGTGTGATTTCTTTCATGTATTTTATAACGATACTGTGTACCAAAAGCTTTCCCACAATGCTTACATACATAGGGTTTCTCCCCAGTGTGATTTCTTTCATGTATTTTATAACAATACTGTGTACCAAAGGCTTTCCCACAATGCTCACATACATAGGGTTTCTCCCCTGTGTGAGTTCTTTCATGTATTTTACAATTACCTTGTCTACCAAAGGCTTTTCCACATTGCTTACATACATAGGGTTTCTTCCCTGTGTGAATTTTCTCATGCATTTTACAACAAGCTTGTACACTAAAAGCTTTTCCACATTGCTTACATACATAGGGTTTCTCCCCTGTGTGAGTTCTTTCATGTATTTTACAACAACTTTGTGTACTAAAAGCTTTCCAACAATGCTTACATACATAGGGTTTCTCCCCAGTGTGATTTCTTTCATGTATTTTATAACAATACTGTGTACCAAAAGCTTTCCCACAATGCTTACATACATAGGGTTTCTCTCCTGTGTGAACTCTTTCATGTATTTTATAACGACATTGTGTAGCAAAAGCTTTCCCACATTGCTTACATACATAGGGTTTCTCCCCTGTGTGAGTTCTTTCATGCGTTTTGCAACAACCTTGTGTACTAAAGGCTTTTCCACAATGCTTACATACATAGGGTTTCTCTCCACTGTGAGTTCTTTCATGTGTTTTACAAGAACCTCGTGTACTAAAAGCTTTCCCACAATGCTTACATGCATAGGGTTTCTCCCCAGTGTGATTTCTTTCATGTATTTTATAACGATACTGTGTACCAAAAGCTTTCCCACAATGCTTACATACATAGGGTTTCTCTCCACTGTGAGCTCTTTCATGTGTTTTACAAGAACCTCGTGTACTAAAAGCTTTCCCACACTGATTACATACATAGGGTTTCTCCCCCGTGTGAGTTTTTTCATGTATTTTATAATGACACTGTCTACCAAAAGCTTTCCCACATTGCTTACATACATAGGGTTTCTCCCCTGTGTGAGTTCTTTCATGCATTTTATAATGCCATTGTTTACCAAAAGCTTTCCCACATTGCTTACATACATAGGGTTTCTCCCCTGTGTGAGTTCTTTCATGTATTTTACAATGACCTTGTGTACGAAAGGCTTTTCCACATTGCTTACATACATAGGGTTTCTTCTCTGTGTGAATTCTCTCATGCATTTTACAACAAGCTTGTATACTAGCTTTTCCATACTGCTTACATACATAGGGTTTCTCTCCAGTGTGACTTCTTTCATGTATTTTACAATAATGCTGTGTACTAAAAGCTTTCCCACAATGCGTACATACACAGAGTTTCTCCCCAGTGTGAATTCTTTCATGCTTTAGACAATCAGTATGTGTGCTAAAAGCTTTTCCACATTGCTTACATACATAGGGTTTCTCCCCTGTGTGAGCTCTTTCATGTACTTGATGATCACTATGTGTGCTCAAAGCTTTCCCACATTGCTTACATACACAGAATTTCTCCGCAGTGTGAATTCTTTCATGTATTTTACAATGACCTTGCGTACTAAAAACTCTCCCACATTGCTTACATACATAGGGGTTCGCTCTTTTTTGTTTTTTTTCATGGATCTGAATCTCATTGGGTGTGCTGGAGGCTTTCAAGTTTTCCTTATACACAAAGGTCTCCTCTCTAAGGTGAGTTCTTTCACTAAGATCAGTGTAGGATTTCTCACATTGATCATATTCATAGGGTTTCTTTCCAGTCTTTGTCTTTGCATCTTTCTGAAAGGAGTGGAAATCACTGCAGGTTCTTCCATGTTCATTACACTTATACAACTTTTCTTCTGATCCCAAATACTCAGATGTCTTCAATCCAGTGTGAGCTACGATGGGCACATTTAGTGACAAATGCCCAGTCAGGCGTTTTCTGCAAGCAAGGCCTTCGGCTTGTTTCATTTCCACATTAGCTTCTGGAGTCCAGAGGAATATTTCTTCATATTGATTCCAGCCTTTATTTTGATAGCATTTCTCTACCTCTTCATTTCTGTAGAGGAAAAAAGTCAAGTTCTGGTTAGATTCCTCCTACGTAATTGACGATTAACTGAATGCCCTGGAGGATACCTCCGAAACAGCCATTCCCAAGAGTGGTACTCATTTAGAAATTTTTATATAAGCACATTTTGCAGTACAGAAGGCTTACTTTCATTTGGGCAATTGATACAATACATGTTTATCACATATTAATCATTTTGATACATTTTCCCCCACAGTTCTCCCCCTTTTCTCCTTATCCAGTTTGTCTTCCTCATCTCCAAAAAGTCAGACTTTCCTTTATAATCACCTCTCCTTTATTTTATTCCCTAATTTATATTTTTGGTTTCTCATAAAAGAGAAAGCATGTGACCTTTCATATTGTGGGTCTGACTTATTTCACTTCACATTCAGGCCCACCCATTTGTTTTGAAAAATGACATGATTATCATTCATCTTTTGTGGCTGACTAGATGGTACACTTCTTTTTCTTTTTCTCAGTGCAGGGCATTAAACACAGGTCTTAGCACTGAATTACATCTCCAGCTTTTTATTTGTTATTCTGAGAGAGATTTTCAGTGAAGATTAAATTGCTCAGCCTGACCTTCAACTCGCCATCTTGCTGAAGCAGCTTACTAGAGTGCTGGGAATGTACCACCAAGCTGAGCCTACGAAAATTTTTTTTTATCCATTCATCTAATGATGGACATCTAGGCTGATTCCATAGCTTAGCTGTTATAAATTGTCTGCTTTGAGTATGCATATGCATGTATCAGTATAATATGATAATTTTAACTTTTTGGGGACTATACCCAGGAGAGGTATCCAGATCAAATAGAACTTCTACTTTCACTTTTTGAGATGTCTTTGTACTGATTATTACAGTGGCTATACTTAATATTCCCAACAAAAATGTTAGACAGGGCCTTTGAAGAATTTTAAAACATGGACTCAACTGCCTGTAGGATGGCTTGAAATGTGTAATTACAACACTAGCATTCATTTGTGTTTTGCATACTGCTTCAAGGTTAGCAGCTTTTTAGATGTCTCATATATAAATACATGTAATAGATTCATGTATACATAAATAGATATCTTGAAGATGTGTTTCTGTCAAAACTCAAAATTCACTTCTTTTCGTATATCCTTATGCACAATACCTATATGCAATTTCATACATTTTCATGGAGGTGATCATGAAAGAAAATGTTTGTACTTCTATGTCACATAGTGTCACTTGTTGCATGACATCAGTACTAAATCAGTTTCATATATTAGAATATTTCTGTATTCAGTTCTCAGATTATACATACTAAAACTATATCCATTATTGGAGAATATTTGTGAGATTAAATAAACTTGAA